ACACACACACATATACATACATACATTAGAACTCACTTCAAATAATCCACCTAGAAGTACATTTCTGGCCATTTTTTTTTTCTTACTCTAACCAATTAAAAAAATTACTTTATTGCTATAAGAGAATCACACCCATCTCATGTGGTACAATATTTTATACCAGCTGACATGCCCTTAATAGTAATTATATATAGGTATGTTTTGCTTTAGGACTGTTTTATCAAGTCTTCTTACAATAAATAATCTAAATGCATTCAGTGGATGTTAATATATCAAGTTATTTTGAAATGCAAACTATTCTCTAAGATAACTGCTAGTTGGTGTTCATATCCATCTGCTTTGGACTCTCAGGGTTACACTTGTACAAAGAATTACTCATCTATAAACTTCCTGAATGTTAAAAATTATAAAAACCTGAAATAGTTGACTTTTTTCTTTTTTGCTTCCTACCAAAACTCTCTATTCTGATAAATGCCAATAATGTATTGAAAGTTTGAAAGGAATAAGAAAAATTACTTACTTGGAAAGTAATCCATCAAGTCCTGAAGGTTTTACGAGGTATTTATCCACTTGTTTGTTAAATAAATAATAGGGTAACTGCAGGTGCTTGGTGACATTATGGAGGTTTATGGCATACAGAGTTAAATCTCCTTCTTTATACCTTCGGCTAAAAGCAAATAGGTTAACTCAATAAAAATATTTACTTCGTTTAAGCAATTACAAACTAAATTACAAATGTGATCACGGATACATAGTGATGATGGGACCTCTTAGTGTCTTCCCTTTTACGATAATATCACACCACTGATGTGGTCCTATTTTGAAACCATGATAAAAAATACTGCTCTTCACACTACCACTTTCTGGGCTAGAGCACTCTGAGATCTTTGCTGCGTGGCTGGCTGAGTTGCTAGGAAGTTAAATGGTAAAATCCAAATTTTGTGGGCTCATGTGAATTCAAATTATAAACTATATAAACAAGGGGCTTTTCCTGGCCTTAGGAAAAGACCAAAATAAGAAAATTAAATCTATTGACACTTTTCAGAATTTATTCACTCAAACCATTCTCCCACTACTTCCTAGAGGTGTCCTCACTGTTCATGGAGGTCCCCATCACCAGAAATGGGAAATGGCAGGTGGGTTTTTTGGCTAGAATTAGCATTTTAGTATCGTCCTATCAGGAATGATAGATTAAAAATAACAAGAAGAGAAAAACCCTGAGATTTAGCAACATTCTTTGCTACCTAAAGGAAGAGTGCAAGGCTACAAAGATCTCTACGGCCTCTCAGCTCCAGAAATTGTGGTTGCAACTTTTGAAAATAATATTATTGTTGGTGTTACTGTTCTCCTTCTTCCTTCATTTCTTCTTCTTCCTTATTAATTTATCAGGTTTGATGCAAGGAGATAAATATATTCATATTAATTCATATTCATAGTCCTTCAGTGAATTAATTGTTCATATAAAAATAGTAATATTTTCTTACATTCATATTATTTATTAAAATTCAGGGTATATTTCCATTATAGATTATGACAATTAGAATCATTGTATAAATCTTTGCTGGACTGCAAATGCCTATGTTTAAGCAACATTTTTTTTTAATTTAGACTCTAGCATCATATCACTATGAATACAGAAAACAGAAAAGAACACTGACACATCTTAGACCCGCTGTATATATACGCGGCAAGAGGGTGTTTGAGTAGGAAGTTATGTGCGCTACCAACGAAAACTTGCCGATTGGCCAAGGCCGTGTTCCATACTTGCCTTTGGTTGACGTTTGTGCAGTGAAGGTATACGCGAAGTTTGCTTCCGGCTTGACCTTTCACACTCGCCATGAGCACGTTGGTGCCCACCAATTTCTTGAACAGAAGAGACAGCCAATAATCCTAGTTGTGGTGGTTGGGGAGAGGAGAGACAAAACTAGATCATTACTTGTTTCTTTATTTAACAAAACCAGTGGTGAGCAAATAGTTTTCATACAAAGAGTGTGACTGCTATCCTAGGGGTGTCCTAGGATTCATCTGTTTTTTTTTTTGATGCATGTGACCACCATGAATCTGAGGGCAATATTTTGTTTGATGCTTCTTCTCACTGTAGGACTCCATTTCCATAATCCAGAGGGCTATAGCCTCTAGGAGATACATTTCAAGAATGCAGTCCATTGATAAGAGAGTTTAAATATTCTTGGTTGTCTTTTATCCAAAAATTCAAAGCAAAGCTCAAAGCCACACGTTTAGACATACTTCCACAGATAAACAAAGATAAGTGCTTGGATTTACTTTGCAAAACATCTTTGATCTAAGTTTGTTTTCTTGTAAAAACGGAACCATAAAATTTCAAATTATCCCTTTAAAAAAAAATCCACACCACACCCCAAATGGCCCACATTTAAAAACGTCATTCCAGGCTCTTGATTTCTTCTCTTGAGACGAAGAAATGTTAGAATGGGTGATCTCTAAGGTTCCCTCCAACTTGTCATCAGCAGATTTGGCTATTTACCGAGAGGACTGACCATTCCCGAGAGGCTCAGATCAGGGCCCCTGAGTACATGTTACTCGCAGAACTAGGAAAATAACGGCCACTCACAGGTAAAGGTTCGAAGTTTTCATCCACTAGGTGGTAGTTTCCGGCTCCAAAGAACACCTGCCGCATCACCACTTCGATGCCCATCCGGGCCGACAGGCCCAGTTTGTCCAGCCACCTGGGACACAGTGGGACCGAGCTTTCTTCAGGTTTGGAAACAAAATTACTCCATTCTAATTACACACTATCCTGCTTTCGCCCTCTCCATGGGAAGAATTAACAGGAAACCAGCAAAGCGGCATTGATTATAAATAGGTCATTGGAATGGAATGGCCACCGCCACTCACGGCAGAGTCCCTCCCTCCACATCTGCCCACGCGACAGCATGACAACGAATCCTAGCAGATCGTCAGTGCGCCAGGGGGGTCCCTCGAGCAGATACATTCCCACCCCTATGGACAATTCCTTGTCCTGGGGGGTTCTGGCCTCCCACCTGCACAGCGAGAGGGCTGAGGGAAGGGCGCAGTCAGCAGTGGTAGCACGTGAAACAACTAGAATCACACCTAGGCTACGATGGATACCTCTCCCCACCCCTCCCTCTATGCCCCCTCCTCCGCCTCCCATCCCAAATCTTTACTTAATGGCAAAACAAACACCTCTGTTCTGTTCTCTGCTCATGCCCACAGGAGCATAAAGGATTTGTGCTTTATTCTGGGTTTATAAAGAATGAGGATGGAAGAGGAAAGAGAAAAAACACCTCAATGTGAGGATACAGAATTCGAGATTAACAGAGTGATTGAATGTCAGTAAACCAGGGGTTTAAAGCAATCAAGTTTGTAGTGTTGGAGAATGAGGTGATTTAGTAAATCTTTAAATTCACTGATAGCCTCTGTGCTGTGACCTCATCCCTTAGGGTCTAAACTTCTTGGAAATCTATAAATATAGCTGCATAGGCTAAGTATCCTTCTCAGAGCCAAAGCTCTAGATGGGCATTCTTCTACAATGTACTTCCTTAGAGGAAGGACCCTTTGGCATGTTTACCGGCCATAGTTAAAGAACAATATTTCTATTATAAAACAATTAATTCTTACAAGGATGAATTTGAGACACCTGTTAAAGATGCCTAACAAGCTTTAGTAAATCATGTTCATGCAAAATCTGGCACAAAGTTTGGGGCTCGGCCACAGAAACCGTCTTTGATCTGCTTTTTGGCGGAGGAGTGTTTCAGCTGGACGGAAGGCTGGATCCCCAGGCCGTGCGGTTTCACTCACATAAAGCCGGCTGCGAAGGTGTTGGACAGCAAGGGCGCCCCGCCCCCGTACGCGGAGCTCGTCTCTCCCAACCAGACCTTCTTGCTGGGCCTGGTCTCCTCCACCACCTGTGCGACAGGAAAGTCTCCATGACAACTGCAAACAAGCTGACCAACCACGGTGTTGAACATTAACAGCCTTCGAAACCTGTATTCCTAGACCCATCCATCCTACATAGTTACAAAATCTGTTCACAGTCATTCAGGTCGCAGGCAATTTTCTTTTATTGGCACACTACAGGGCGTGGAAGGAATGTAAACAAACCCATTCTTATGGTCTATGGCAGTTAACGTCACTAAGTGTTTTTAATTTTTTTTTCAGACAGAGTCTCACTCTGTTGCCTGGGCTAGAGTGCCGTGTAGAGTCAGCCTAGCTCACAGCAACCTCACACTCCTGGACTCAAGCGATCCTTCTGCCTCAGCCTCCCAAGTAGCTGGGATTACAGGCATGAGCCACCATGCCCGGTTAATTTTTTCTATACATTTTTGTTGTCCGACTCATTTCTTTCCATTTTTTTTTTAGTAGAGATGGGGTCTTGGTCTTGCTCAGGCTGGTCTCGAACTCCTGACCTCGAGCGATCCTCCTGCCTCGGCCTCCCAGAGTGCTAGGATTACAGGCGTGAGCCACCGCGCCCGGCCAGTATTTTTAATTTCTAATCAACATACATTAATAAGACCTAATGTTAAGGGGAAACCAATGGTGAATAAGTCATAGTGCTTGTTCTCCAAAATTAGAAAAACATGTATATACATATGTACACCTATAGAATTTAGAACTAGACTATAAAATAAAGATTCTAGTTTTACATCAAAACTTTTAAAAAGACTATTACCTGAAAAATTTTTTGCACAGATGAAATAAAAGTGTCCAACACATCAGGGTTTAGAAAATCTTCTTTGGTAGCAATTCGTCCATTCAAATAGTAGCTAAATTATGCAGAAAATATTCAGGGGAAAAAAAGGAAAAACTTTACTTTCTGTTTTTATGTTAACTGCTGACGTTGTTCTTCCTACCTCTCCCACCTGCCTATTATTAAAAAAAAGGCAGAAATTCTATCAAGGAAAG